TATATCAACACACAACACACAAAAAGCAACAAAAAAATAATTTAAAATTAATTAGTATGTTTATGTTGCCCATTAAGCTAAAAACATATCTTGAAACAAAAGTGATCCCTCGGAAGCATTAATCAAACAAAATTACAAGAGAATTGCAGACTAGGTTGATTGAGTCTGGTACATGAGGGATAATGAATACGTGCAACATCCCTCACGCCCCTAGCACCGGCTTGAGTGGGTACTTCAATTCTTAACACTTAATAGTGCTGGCATCAATGATCCCGAACAACCAGAAAAATATAACAACAGTGAAGTGAAGTACTGGGCAACTTTTTACAGCTGCCAACACAGCACTTGACACCTGCTGTTGTGAAGTATAAAAACCTGGAAACAAAGTGATCCTTGGAAGCATTAATCACAACAAAATTACAAGAGAATTGCAGACTCGGTTTGATTGAGTCTGTACATGAGGGATAATGAATACGTGCAACATCTCTCATGCCTCCTAGCACCGGCTTAAGCGATACTCAATTCTCAACGCTGAATAGTGCTAGCATCAATGATCCCGAAGGACCCGTCACGACTGATTTTGAGGTCACCAGGTCAAAGGTCAAGGTCACAGGGGCCTTGACTTCAAAAAGCTTGTCCGCCCAATAACTTGAGAATCCTTTGACATTGGGCATGGAGGTTAGTCACGATAAGAAGATGACCCCATTTGATTTTGAGGTCAAGGTCACAGGGGCCTTGATTTCTAAAAGCTTGTCCGCCCAATAACTTAAGAATCCTTTGATCCACAGTCTTCATATTTGGCATGGAGGTTTATCATGACCATTAGGTGACCCCTATTGATTTTGAAGTCACTGGGTCAAAGGTCAAGGTCACATGGGCCTTGACTAAAAAAAGCTTGTCCACTCAATTGCTTACGAAGGCTTTGGTCAACAGTCTTTATATTTGGTATTGAGGTTGTTTATGACTAGTAGATGACCCCTTTTGATTTTTAGGTTACTGTTTCAAAGGTCACAGGGATTTACTATAATAAGCTTGTCTGCTCAAATGCTTAAGAATGCCTGTCGAAAGTGTATTGATTTTCATATTTGAAGCATGTAGAATACATAACTTAGCAATGAACTGGCTTAGTAACCTCAGATTTTGCAGGGAGGTTGTCTTTGAGCTCTCAATGGTCACTGTTGATTCTGACAAAGTGGTATGCGGGGTATTCACGTCATGAATAAATAACTTAAATAGATCTGAAACTTAGTCAGATTGTCCTTTTCTTGATATGATGTGGGCACGATGAAATCTTAATGAAGATTTCAAGATTTATTCAACGGTATGCCTAAAATACGAAAGTGAGATTTTTGACGAAAGTGAGCGAAAGTGAGCGAAAGTGACTTTTAAAATAGTAATTATAACATTTTGATAGACTTTTAAAACAAACTTGCAGTTTGTAGACGTATATTATTAGAAAATAATTATATTTATTAACAGAAATAATCATAATGATGATTTAATCGCTACTAATTTGCATAATTTCTATACACAAGTTCTTATATCTTCCTTTCGCTCACATCGAAAAATACGAAAGTGACTTATAAAATATTAAATATTCTGTTTTAATTGAAATTTTTACTAAAATTACAATTTGTAGATGTATATTATCAGAACTTGATGATACCTATTTTTTAAAATATCATTAATGATGATTTAATCGCTATTTATTTGCATTATTTTTATAACACAAGTTCAGATATCTTCCTTCGCTTCAGATTGAAAAAATACGAAAGTGACTTCAAAATATTCAAATATAGCGATTAATTTAAATCGATATTAATATAACAGATTGTAGACGTAAAGTTTTGGAATTTGATAATATCTATTTTTAAAAATTATCCATTATAATATTTAAATCGCCATTTATTGCTCATAATTTCTATACACAAGTTCAGAAAATCTTTCTTTCGCTCACAATTGAAAAATACTAAAGTGACATATAAAATATTAAATATACTGGTAAGTTGATTTTACGTTACTAAAATTGCTCTAAGTAGACGTATATTATCAGAAATTGATAATATTTATTTCAAAAATAATCAAATTATATATGAATGATTTAATCGCTATTTATTTGCATAATTTCTTATATACAACTACATAGATCTTCCTTTCGCTCACATTGAAAAATACGAAATGACTTATAAAACATTCAATATACCGGGGTTTATTTTGAAAATTTATATTAATATAAAAGTTTGTAGACGCATAGTTTTTCAGAAAGAATTAAAAAAATTAAACTTTAAAAATCATTATGAGGTTTTTTAATATTCATGCATTTTCCATTATTTCTATATAGCAAATTTCAGAGATCTTATACTTTTCGCTCACTTTCGGTATTTTCAATGTTAGGGAGAGGGAAGTGAAAAGTGATTTTAAAAATATCAAATATAGCGTTTAAATTGCAAATTTAATATTAATAATGCAGTTTGTAGACGTATATTATCAAAAAACTATAGTATCTTTTTAATCAATATGATTTTGATCTTCATTTATTAGCATAATATTAATACATCAAGCTCAGACATTGATCTTCCTTTCGCTTACTGTGAGTCTGACGAAAGTGACTTACAGAATATCAAAGTTTATAGCGTTGAAATAGAATTTCATGATAATATTGCAGTTTGTAGACGTATGTTATAAGCTATAGTAACTTAATCATTTTTATAAAACTTAATATGTTAAGAGAAAAATGTTAATTTATTATGTAAACTATATTTGGCAAAAACATGAATTATACCAATTTATGCGTTAGGGCCAACGGGATTTACAGTTTCTCCCTATTTCCCTTGCAGTTCGTCTTTTTTGGGCAGTTTTTTTAATTTTGTTAAACGATAGTGTTACCTAACATTTAATATTCTTGTTGATATATTAACTTGTAATTATACTGTTTTGTTCTAATCTAAACAGTAATAGTCTTGAAAAATTGGGTTTTCAAATTACTAAATGTCTTTGAAAATTCTTAAATCGAATGAGTCTTTATGTAGGTTTTATGTGAATAGTTGTAATATATTTTAAAAAATGATCTATTACGAAGAGGACAAAATAAAGGATGAAATGGTTTACATGCAAACACGTGTTGTCATATTCATTTTCGCATCCACTTTAATTGATAGTACACAACGATGGGTGCCGGCATGACCTTTTTAATCCCACTAAAGTATTATTATTAATTCCCAATCATTAGGTATGTTAAACTGATGAACACTTGCCCGGGTTGTTTATATTGGAGTTTGGAGCAATTGAAAATTGACCTTTCTTCTGCACCACCATTAGATATCGTTTGCACGTTACCGGATTAAAGTTGGCAGTTTATTATTGCTCATTCCGGGTGGTTATGATAAGCAATGGTACATGTTAATTTGAAAAATAAATTTAAATTTCCCATCATTGTTAAAATTTAATATTGTCACTATGAAAAAAAGGAATAAGTAATCCAACGGAATTTTCTATAAATATCGTTACTATATATATCGGTTTAAAGTTCAATCTTTTTAATAAGTTAGGAATTTTTTTTTTATATTTTGTGCTTAGTTTTCATCATCAAGTTATAGGTCCCAATCAAACCATGAAAACATGAATAATAATGAAAATGACTCATTTATTTTTTTATTATAAAAAACATTAATTATCGGTGAATATTGACTTGGACTTCGTCCGATTAAGTAGTCATTTCGTATTGTTCAAAATTGTGGGCAAAAGTAAAGATTATCAGAACAGGTATTACAGCAATTATGAAAAATACATGGATATTAAATCATCATAACGATTATTTTTATATATATATATTAATCATTTCTGAAAACAGCGTTCTTTCAGCGCTATATTTGACATTTTTTGATAAGTCACTTTCGTATTTTTCAAATGTGGGTAGGGAAAAGAAGATCTTTTAACTTGTTGTAATGCAAATAAAGGGCGGGGTTAAAATCTTCATAATCTGATTATGTTTAAAAATAAATATAATTACTTTGAAATATTTGTACGTTCTAAAAATTTATTGCCAATTTTATTTAATACAAAATTTCAATTTTAAAACAGGTAAGTTGATATTTTGTAAAGCCACTTCGTATTTTTCAATGCGATGCGACAAAGGGAAGATCTCTGATATAAACTTGTATATAGTAAAATGGCGATCTTTAATCATCATAATGATTATTTTTGAAAGTAAATATTACTTCATTTTTCTGATATTATACTCCACTTTGTACGTAAAATAATAGTATATAATAATTTTCAATTTTTAAACGGTATAATTTTTATATTTTTATAAGTCACTTTCGTAATTTTTCAAATGTAAGCGAAAGGAGGATATAAGAAATGTTGTGTGATATAAATTATGCAAATAAAAAACCGAATAAATTCATCCATTAGATTATCTTTATAATAAAATAATAAGTAATTCTAATAATATACGTCTACAACTGCAATTTTAAATTGTTTAAGTCTATTAAAAACGTTTACAATTAAAATTTTAAAAAAGTCACTTTTCCTCACTTCCCGCTCACTTTTTCGTCCAAAAATCTCACTTTCGTTATTTTCGGCAAACCCTTTAATTTCAATTACTGTTATGGTTCATACAGACATGCGACATATAAAAACATCTAACAACCGGAACACAGAAAATAGTTCATAAAAACAGGAGAATGAAGTGCCCGTAAATAAATTAAAGATATGACTCGATTTCTTTTAATAACCCAAATGTTTGCTTCATTAAAAAAAAATTCTAGTAGACTAATGATAGAATGTTATAATTATTAATTGCATGTAGTAATTATTTCTAAAAAATACAAAACAAAGCAAGATTTTTCCTATTGATTTGATTTTCAAATTTCAATGCATTAGAACACCAATGATAATGCGCTTAAGTAAATTTACGTGCACTATAAACAAAGTGTGAACAATAAAAGGGATAGTGAAATTCGTCAAGTTCGCTTTTTGGCAGTTGTGTGTCTTTCTTGTACTTCTATTGAAACCCAGTCTACAATTACAAAACATTCAAAATGGCGGTAGCGTTTACTTTTCGCACATGCAATTTTTAACTGCTTGTTGAAACGAAATCCGAGATCGTCTTGTCATCTTCTGTTGTGGTAAAAAACTTGTTTCATAAATTATTGTTATAACGACATGACCAATTTACTGTTTATTACCAAATTATATTTGAAAAGTGGAAATTGTTTTTATTTTTTATTCAACTGTTCAAATTTTTTTGACAATATGAAAATAAACAATGAACGGCTGTATTAAACACATTTAATTTTGACTAGGCTTAAAGCCACTTGCGATTAAGTCAAGCAGCTTAAAACAAAAAAATCATAATTTGCACTGTACGGTAAATTTTGGGTTGGAAAATATCCAGTTTATCAATTTAAAGACGATGTCTGTGGCTAACTGATGACTATCTAATGGTTATTATAATGTTGGACAATATTTTAAAAGTTCTTATACAAATATCAGATCTCACACAGTGATTCCGCTACTGTGTAACTCTTGCGTTTTTGACGCAATAGTTACACGAATGACGCATTGAAATTTGCAAAGCGCCTTTTTTATGACGCAGTAACAAATTATCAAACCAGGCTTCGCAATAGTTGCCGGACCGTCGGACATGTCCGGCAAAAATCAGGTCGGTCTGATATTTTTTCCGAGTTCTGGACCTTATGTTCGGTACAAATACCGGGATATATCCAAGACCGATCAAGACCAAGTTTTCTCCCTTAAATAAAAAAAAAATGTAAAACCAGTTTTGATTTGCCGTTTCATAATAAGTGTCCAATCAAATTCTAGATACATACGACATTCACTGACCTTGTACTCGGAAGAAAATGTCGGTGTTACTGCATTTTTACGATGGCGCTACGCCAGGCAAAAAATGTAAATCTATCTAATGAAGAAAAAAATGCGAAACAAAAGGAATACGAGTCCAGGCGAAGAAAATTTATGGGTAAATGGCCGCTTCTGGTTGGTTTTCAACAAGGAAGATTCGGTCAGACAAAAGTTCTTTCTGTCAGACAAGAATTGAAAGTTTGTCTGACCAAATGTCAGGCAAATTTTTCAGCAGTTTTGCGAAGCCTGTCAAGCTGAATTGGAAATGACCATTTATATCAATAAGTTATTCCTTCGATTATTAACGCCATCTGTTTATTTGTTTATCAGAATTGTATTCATTTCCAGTAATTGTTAGTATGTATAAGTTGCTACCCAATTCAGTGTCGTTATTGGCACATTTTCTGTCCGACTTTCAACCGTTCTATATCAGGTATCAGTATCCAGGATTTAGACATGTGAGTTTTATAGCATTTCAATAGACTTTTACAGTAATTATCAGAAATTGATAATATTTATCAAAATCCGCCAACATTTTTTAGATGTACATACAGTACTGGACACGCGAAACCCGCAAAAGTCGCGTTATGCCGCGAGTGTAGTCTATGTCGCGACGGGACACTACGCGGTAAAACATCGCCGCATGCAAGTTCGCCGAATTTCATGGCGGTTCACGAAAAATCGCCGCGATGTATCGCCGTAATTTACGGCGAATCTTCAGCAATAATTGTATTAGAAAGTACTACTTGGTCATTCCCGTGGTCTTTAATTTTTAAAAATTTAAAAAAATCTTGTAAATGTCATGTATATCTATAAATATTTAGCATTTGAACATGTACAGCGTATACATTTTGTATACTAAAACAAAGCAATCAGGTGCTAGTGAAAATTAGTTAACAATAAAACGAGATTGAAATTACAAAAGGTAATTGGTACTACATCAAAGAACGCACGATAACAAATTGTCCAATTGTTATTTTGATAATAATACAAATGTAATTAAAATCCATTGTTTACTTTCGCACATATTCTATTTTTAGAACAATGCAAAGCGACATTTAGCACCGATTCACAGGTGTAACTAATTATTAACGTCTAATACGCTAATTATGATTGTTGAAAATTGTAAAAGTTTTATCACTTAAATTGAGCTGAGACATTCTTTACCTTCAATTTCACGAGTAAAAAATGCCAGGTGCATGAGTAGGTGATGAGTAGCAAGATGCAAATCAGATTTTTTTATTTCCGCCAAATCAGCCAGGGCATTCGACCCAAAAAATTCCCTCGAAAACAAAAATAAAATCGGAGTTAAATCACACATTTAATATGTAAAGTAACGAGGGCATTCTGTGCATAAAATTAGGGTGTTACTATTTACATAAATAGCGACCAACCAGGGAAGGATATTTTCCTTACGTCACACAGTACTGCATGGTCACTAGTTTACCATGTGGTAATTTTAATGTGCTTTGGGGTACATGTTCGTTTGTTTATGACTGACGACACAGATTAAATACTAAGCCCATGCACGGATTTATATTACTATAAATCGACACAAGTATTGCACAATATCTTCAAGATCATAAAAATGTAAATAAAATATCACAATCAAAATGCACTTACGATTAATAATATGTCAATAATTGACACAATCAATATCCAACATTTTTTTTTACTTGAGCGATAATTAAACATGTGTAATCATTCCTTGACAAAAAGAAATGACAGTTTTTTTCTGATATATAAAAAAGAGGTGGAAGTCAATCGAGTGTCGGCGTTTCTTTGATGATTCGGCAACAACTACAGGTGTGTAAACATCAAAGATTCACAGATTCTTTAGAAGAGCCGACCAGTCATTTGTCAGAGGTCATTTCGTGTGTAAATTTTGTATTTATTATTTAACAATGGAAACATTATATTCCTTTATTTATGGATGCTTCTTTTTGCGCGAGTGTTTTTGTGTCTTTTAGCGCTATGGAATTTCAACAATCGGCGATAATTTTCGGTAACTAACAATTAAATATTTTAACATTTTTAAAACGGGTGCAGACGTGTAATAAATTGAGTAATGATCACCCGAGAGAACGAAATGTCCCGGTGATCCACTATAACTCTTCCAGGTCGTACGGGAATATTTACGCAGGATTAGTTTATCACATCGGTAATTTGACCATGCTTGAATTTATGTCTTATGTTTTCTTGATACAACTTCATGTAGATCTACTAATTAATTTTCGTACTTGTACATGTATATCTGGTTTTAAGTTCACAGAGTACAATTATAAATAGATCTACATTTATTATACAAATGAACATGTATTATTCCCCGCGAATCACGGCAAATGTTCACGGCAAAATCGCCGCGAGTTGAATTCGCGGCAATTGTCTCAAGTTGCCACGAATTCGCTCGCGTTATAAAGCATGAGAGTTCGTCGCGAATACGCGAATTGTGCGGGTTTCGCGTGTCCAGTACTGTATAATAAAAGACGAAAATGGTAATCTTCAAACAACTCTGTATACCAAACCTACGGATGCTCACAAGTACCTCCACTACACGTCGTTCAACCCTACGCACCAGAAAAATAGCATTCCCTACAGCCAGGTTGTCAGCATACGCCGTATATGCAGCAATGATATATCATATAAAACATGCACTGATCAATTATTCAACAATCTACGTGCCAGAGGGTATCCAACAAACCTTGTAAGAAATGCCATAAAGAAAGTATCAGAACTTAATAGATCTAACCTCCTTTCTGTTAGTAAAAATGAACCACAAGAGAAGAAAATCATTCCGTTTATAACTACTTTCAATCCATACATCCCAACAGCTCAAAAAATTTTGAACTCGTATCTTAACATATTAAGTGACAATAATTTCACTACTTTGATTAGGAGCTCAAAAATTGTGGCACTATATCGTCGATGAAATAACCTAAGAAGAATCTTAGTGAAGTCAGACATTTCTAGCGATAAATTCTCGAATGGCAGTTACCCGTGCAAACAAAATTGTCTTGCGTGTAAATTCATGTCTAATACTACAGAATTTAAAAGTACCGCTACAAATGAAACATTTAAAATCCTTGGACATCATACATGTAAAACAGTGAGCTTAATTTATTTAATAACATGTAAATTACAGTACATAGGACAAACCGGCAATTCACTAAGAGATCGATTCTACGGCCATATAGCCGATATTAGAAGTAAAAATAACGTCAAGCCCGTTTCGCGCCATTTTAATATCAACGGACACAATGAACTTGACATAATAATACAAACAACCGAAAGAAACATTAATTAGGAATAAGAACGGAAGAAGTACGGATAAAGAAATTAAAAACAAAATCTCCAAGCGGTTTAAATCTAATGTAACATCAGAAGAAATATTTGATGCACAAAAATTAACAGAAGAAGAATGGCCAAAACCTAGATATAACAAAATATGTGAAACCTGCGACATTGTTTATACAGATAAAAACAGATGGTACCAGCATCAAAAAACACATGATGAGTACATATAACAAAGTTCATTTGTTCCTGGTGTAACAAGCATTACGCACGACGTGATTCGCTTAAAAGACACTCGATAAGTATACATGGATTTAATGAAACAAAATTCGAAAGTATCAAAATCGACAAACCAAGGACCACACCCAAATCAACAGAAAGCAAGTATAAAATATGAAAAAAGATGACAACATTCAGAATCGTCAACAATAGAGGTACTCCACAACTAACCAAGAACATAAAAACTAAGAATATCAACAAAACACAAAAGATCCACATGGACATTGAAACTATGGACTTTAAAATACCAGAACCTTTATCCCCATTAAATCCAAGTAAGGACAACAGCTCAGAGACCTTATGTGAAGATGAATTTGGACAGTACAGTAACATCAATGAACAGATCATTTCTATTGGATCCATATATGGTATTTTTAAAGAAACTAACTAAGGCCACTTCTTTTTTTTTTCTTGGTTTACAAAATTTTTTTTCAAAAATGTCCACTGGGTGGTCGAAAAAAACAAAAAAACAAAAAAAACTCAAAAAGGTCCATCAGGTATATTGTAAAAAAAAAAAAAAATCTTGTATGGTGCACATAAAACACTATTTTGTCAAAAATAGTGTCATTCTTCTATTGAACCTGCATGAAAATTACAAACTCTATGACAATGTTTAATATTGTATCAAGATGAAAAACAATTGTACTGTTGAAGTATTTTCGATTTCATGACTCATTGAACTGTACAGTTTAGTTCACTCCAGATATGACATTTCTAACAGCCTCAGTCACCAAGTCAGTGCTGGGCTAGCTCTTTAGAACGACATGGCCAAAGTGTCTGGAACGTTTGCTTGTTATAAAGCAGCACTTCTCCCGGTTTATACTGATCGGATGTGTGTCCGAACCGGTCCCGGCTGAGCATTTCGACGAAAAGAAAAATACAATTTAACAATATACTAGCAAATATATCGTAAATCAAACCATTAAATCTTCTCGAGGAAGGATACGGCTTATAGCCGTGCCGATGTCCTCATCAACGGCAGCCTTTAAAAAAGCCCGTCTGGTTGGCAAATCTTTAATTCCAACAAAATCAACTTGGAAATAAACAGTGCCGCTCAAGGGCGCCGCCATTTTTGTTTTACCATGAACTGTGGTAGTTATCCGAGGTAGTCCGAATGTTGTGTTATATAGATTCGTACTCAAAAATATTCGAATTTTCGTACTCATATTTATCGCGCTTATCGGATAATTTTTTTTGCATCGGGGGAAAAAAAGTGGAAATTTCAGTTTTATTTTTTTTCCAATTTACAAATATTTCGGGTCGCCGGTTTTGTAAACCAAGAAATATAAAAGAAGTGGCCTAAGTAGGACTTAATAACAACATATATCATTTTAGACTTAATAACAACATATTGGCAAAATTCCAAAAAATTCTTGGCATACTTCCATAACTCAACCAAATATAATATGGTCATGTTACTTTTTAGTTTAAACATTTTATATACTTCAGGGATATTTTTAACCAGGTTTTCCGAAGGAAAAAACTGGTTATTAGATTGAGGTATGTCGGTGGATGGGCGGACGGGCGGGCGGGCGTAAACAATTTCTTCTGTGCGCAACTCCTTCTACATTTCTCAACGGATTTTGAAGTCATCAAGTGCCCTGGCGCATATTGCCGGGGTTTTGCGATTGGATAATATTTGACCTAATTATTGCCCTTTGTTTTTTTTCCTTATACAGAATATATAGTGAACAATTTCTATCGTGCGCAACTTCTCCTACATTTCTCGAAGGATTTTGACCAAACTTTCACAGAAGCTTTGTTATCAAGTGCCCTGGCTCATATTGTCTGGGTTTTGTGATTGGATAATATTTGACCTAATTATTGCCCTTTGTTTTTTTTCCTTATATAGAATATATAGTGAACAATTTTTTCTGTGCGCACCTCCTTCTACATTTCTCCACGGATTTTGACCAAACTTTCACAGAACCTTTGTCACCAAGTGCCCTGGGGCATATTTTCAGGGTTTTGTGATTGGATAATATTTGACCTAATTATGGCCCTTTGTTGTTTTCCTTATACAGAATATATAGTGAACAATTTCTATCGTGCGCAACTTCTCCTACATTTCTCGAAGGATTTTGACCAAACTTTCACAGAAGCTTTGTTATCAAGTGCCCTGGCTCATATTGTCTGGGTTTTGTGATTGGATAATATTTGACCTAATTATGGCCCTTTGTTTTTTTTCCTTATACAGAATTATCAATATACATGTATAGTGAACAAATTCTTCTGTGCTGAACTCATCCTACATTTCTCAATGGATTTTGTTCAAACTTTCACAGAAGCCTTGTCACCAAGCGCCCTGGCACATATTGTCGGGGTTTTGTGATTGGATAATTTTTGACCTAATTATGGCCCTTTGTTTTTTTCCTTATACAGAATATATAGTGAAGACTTCTTCAATGGCAATTCCTCCTACATTATTCATGTTTTACATTGCACATAGTTACATTGTTTGTTGCTTGTATTTGTATTTCAAATACAACATATTTATCTACAATGGTGATAATTGAAAACCTGGTTTCATGGCATTGCCATGTTTCTTGTTTGTATTATCCTGACGAAGGTAATTATATGACCGAAACCGGTAGATAAATATAATAACATAAACCCACTCTGGTGTTCCTGACGTGTTGTTCATCCCTTCCTTGATTACTATATTTATCAATGTGAGCGAAAGGAAGATCTCTGTAGTTGTGTATAGAAAAAATGCAAATAAATGGCCATTAAATCATCATAATGATTATTTTTGAAAATAAATATTGTCAATTTTTGATATACGTCTGCTTAGTGCATTAATAGTAAAAATTTCAATTTAAACAGTATATTTAATTAAGTCACTTTCGTATTTCAATGTAAGTGAAAGGAAGATCTCAGAACTTGTGTATAGAAATTATGCAAGTGATAGCAAGTAAATCATCATAATGATTGTTTTTGATAGTAAATATAATAAGTTCTAATAATATACGTCTACAACCTGCAGTTTTATTTTAAAAGTCTATTGCTATAATTCATATTTGAAAAGTCTTTTTTGCTCACTTTTGTCAAAAAAGTCACTTTCGTATCTTAGGCATACCGAAAAAAAACAAAAACGTCTCCATGATTCTTTTGCTGCCCCCTAAAAAAGTATATCTACTGTTAATACATCAGGCAATATAAGCAGTAATGAATCATGTCAGAAAATAAGTGACTGTAATACTTCTGAACTGTCTGAAACAAAAGATGAAAATGATAAACCATAACCTAAACTGTCTAAGTGTGAATTCAATGAGGCGTGGCTTAAGAAATATCCATGGTTACAATATGAAGCCAACAGAATGACCTGTCATGTGTGCATATCTGAAAGCAAAGACAACCCTTTTACGTCTGGTTGCACTAACTTTAGACAACCTTCGAAGGCACATTGAGTTGTAACCAACATAGAGCAGCATTGGAATGCCAATCTTTGCACACAGGCATGACAAAACAAACATGTATTGAGCCTCCTTTCAAAAAAGAATGAAGCAGCAATAAGTGCTATGCATTGTGTTTACTGGTTAGGAAAAGAACAGCTGTCTACATTTAAGTTCAAGTCACTATTGCATTTGCACAAATTACAGGGCTGCACTTTTCCAGATCATGTCAGTCAGCAGAGGAAATGCAGGATGCAGTTGCTAGAGTGCTCAAAGATGGTGTTGACAACAAACTCTCAGCAAGCCCTTTTGTTTCATTTCTTTTGGATGAAAATTCTGAAATTTCTGTTACTCTGTATCATTTAGACAGCTCTGTTTTAAAGCTGCATGCCTGCAGATGATCCAACTTATTTCAAGAAAATCAAACTTAAAAAAAATGTTCAAATCTAAGAAAAGTAAAAGATTCAAGAAATAACTGACTTAATCAATTCTGCAGTATTTATCATTATATTTCTACTACATGATGACTAATGCAGAAACCATTTCTTGTAATTAACATGAATTACAAGTGCTATGTGCAATGTGTAAATTACTTTCACTGTTCACTTCACAATACATTTTCAAAATTTTCATGAAATTAAACATGAATCTGGAGGCATGCTCCTTTAATTGTTGCACACATACAACTTGATGTTAGTTGTAGTAACAGTTACACTGTGTCAGACCATTTTAGAAAAAAAAATTATAATTTAGATAAAAAAAAAATTGTAATTTTTAGCTCGACTTTTCTATGAAAAGGGGAGCTATCCTACTCGCCCCGGCGTCGGCGTTGGCGTCACACCTTGGTTAAGTTTTTCGTACCACCCCACTTTATTTCAGAAGTATTACAAGTATGGCTTTGAAACTTACCATACTTGTTCACCATCATAACCTCCATCTACAGACAAGAGTACATAACTCTGTCAAGGTTTTTGACAGAATTATGGCCCTTTTTTGACTTAGAAAGTGTATTGAGCTTGGTTAAGTTTTTTGTACCACCTCACTTTATTTCAAAACCATTGGAGGTATTGCTTTGAAACTGACCATACTTGTTTACCATCACGACCTTCATCAACAGACAAGAGGACATAACTCTGTCAAGGTTTTTGACAGAATTATGCCCCTTTTTGACTTAGAAAATACATTGAATATGGGTAAAATCCACTTATTGCCTTAACCCTTTGAGATATTGCTTTGAAACTTTTAATGCTATTTCACATCATTACCCCATCTGTACGCAAGAGAAGGTAACTCTGTCAAGGATTTGTTTTAAAAATTAAGGCCTTTTATCGACTTAGAATCTTGGTTAAGTTTTTAGTACCAGTCCACTTTTTGACTGAACTGTTTGAGATATTAATTTGAAAGTTGGAATACTTGTTTACAATCATGATTCCCAAACATGTCCAGGAGAAGGTAATTCTGTCAAAGATTTTATTTGAATTATGGCCCTTAACTGTCAATGTTTTGTATTATAGGCAAGCACTAAAAAACTTAAAAAATCTAAAAAAATTCATTCCTATCCACTTGTTCACTTTACCATAAATTATGTCATATAAACATTGCTGTAATATTCAAGGGTATCAAACAACTAGTTCACTTTAAAAATACAGAGATTCTTGTATTGCCTTTTACTGCAAAAACTTTTTTTATTGGCAAGCAATAAAAAAGTCGAGCGCGCTGTCTTACGGACAGCTCTTGTTCATTAATTTTGTTCATTTTTACAAAGTTGTGGAGAGTTATGTTTTGATTCCCTTTTCAGATTGACGAAGCACAATTATGGCAGCCTTAGACTCTTTAGCAGAGTTAAACAGTATTCTTGAAGAATGGAACAATGAGAATGCTGCTGCAGGATTTGCTACGTCTAATCCAGTTCCAAAAATAACCAAGTAATATACTGTACAGTTGTAACACTGGCCCACTCACCCTGCGTGTAGTGGGGGAAATTAGTCTTAAGTTATAACCATCAGTCTGTCCCCATTCTGTGGGATCATTGTCATGATTCTTTTGGCACTAAAATATTGGAGGTTATGACCAAATAATGTAGTGTGTTTAATTAACATGGGTTTAATAAAGGATTTTTGTACAGAATGGGGCATTCGCTGGGGTGTTTGATAGTCTAAAAGTCAAAGTTTCTGCTATTCCTTAGACTAGGTGTTAAGGAGCAAGAGTTACAATTGACTGGTACATAAATTCATAATGTGTTGAATAATTTACATATTCTGTATAAAAAGTCTGCATGTATAACAATTATTGTCAGATACAATTTTATATAAAAATTCACAGTCAACAATTTTTTTCTTTCATTTTTGCTAAATATATGTATAATCTCAACAATTGTTTTAATTTCTAAGTATTTTTATTTTAATGATAGGTAATTAGGTTGTTCTGAATAAAATAAGGTTTATCGATCAATGTAGTTAAACTTGGCTTTACTATCTTAGAATGTTTTATTGGAAGTATATATAATATTTTAGGCTGGCAGAGATAGTTGAGAGGGAAACTGAAGCCTATTATAAAATGGATCCTGACCCTTTTGATGACAGGCATCCAGGTATGTATACTTACCATAATTGTCCAAGTTATTTTGCTAAAACTGAAAAGAACAAGATATATATGTACATATTACATACCGTAATGATAACCAACTTTTAATCTTTAAATTCCAAAGTCTCTTAGTTCATGTACATAAAAAAGAACATACTATACATTCACATCATTAAGTTTGTTTTGTGGGGTTTTTTTTGTGGCAAATTTTACATATATTCAGAGAAACAAGCTGATGTTATGAAAAATACAGATAACTGGATAAACTGGTATCTCCATGCATCATGAAATTATATGATGGTAAATACTTTGTATAAAATGATATAATAACACTATGTTTATATTACTGATATAATGGATTATTATATGTATTGTAATTTGCAGTCATTATGTTATATAGTGATATACCATTCTATGCTTTTCTTCTGATTATTTCAGGTAGAGCCAACCCAACATGTACACTTGGACATTTGTTTAAGGCCCTGTTTAAGAATGAGGAATTTATGAACAGGGTATGTGTAGCAAAACTAATACAACATTAATGATAATAATTTAACCCAATTTCAGTATTTTTTACCGAACAATGAACTGTTACAAAGTCATGAGTGGCAACTCGTATTAATTTATTTCAAAGCATAAAATGAAGCCTTGCATTTTCATAATATTCTGTACATGTCTGACTGGTTCTTATACAATGATTTTTTTTTTACAATTGCGGGGAACTATACAATTTATATGCTTGTATAATAGATTTGATTCTTGGCAAAATTTATTTAGAGAGATACTGGTTAGTGTTACATACTCCTTAATTAGTTAAACTTACAGATTCATTAAAGACTTGTTATGTTGTTGCATTATCGTGACTTGTAAGCCAAGTAAATCTCACATGAATTAATTCTTCAAACATTCCATAATAAGTCTTCAAACGTTCCATCAGCATTGATCACTTGTAAGGTCGATTTGTTCTTTTGATTGCTTTATTTCTTATGTGGGTAAACTTATGTTACTGTATATGTATAATGTATATGTTAAATATTACAGTTGGTCTGTGAATATCTGCTAGATCCCCATGGCAACACTGAATTATGTGTACAGACTGCTAGATTTCTGTATGGGGTAGCACATGGCATTGATAAACGTGATTTATATGTAGACACGGTATGCAATAACGTGGTTGATGATGTTAGAAAAATTGTTACTTCGTTCTTTAT